GGGGGGGGGGGCCGGGCCCCCGGACCCCCCTAGCTGTGACTAGAACTATGGAAAACTGGTCACCCAAACCCTCTGGATCCGCCCCTGCAGCTGACCTGCCTTGTTTCTCCCACACCTCCAGGCAGGCTGGATGGTTAGTTAACGATTGGCATGCGTCGTTTCTGGCTGTGCAGCTTGGCCCTGCAGGTGGAATCGCGTAGTGTGTGATCCCCTAGTAGTGCCCTTATCCTGTCTCCCCACATCGTCTGCCTATCCATACCTGTGACCTTGAGGGTCCGTGGATGATGATAGGATTCGCGGTAATCTGTCACTCAGGTGTGAACACACCACGCACGCAATCGTCGTGCCCCTCAGCAACCGTCGCTAACGCACGGTGCTGCCATCGAGTGGGCTCGCGCAGAAACTGACGGATCGCTCACGAATCCTTTCTCGCTCGCAGCCAATCAGATGTACCAGTACTTCATCAAGGTCGTGCCGACGAAGGTCAACACGAACGCCGTGCGCACGGACACGCATCAATACTCCGTCACGGAGCGGGTGAGTCACCACCCCCTGATGGTGGTGGGGGGGGGGGTGTTCGTCGGCCCGAAACGAGGTTACGACGTATCGCGTAATTCTGAACCATTTATTAATCGAGGAAAAAGGTTAAGATGCATCGGGGTAACGTTGCCGCATGCCTCCTCCTTCTCCTCATCCTCCTCCTCCCCCCCACGCGCATGCTTGCGACGCCATCTCACCAGGGAGCGCATGTGTGTGTTGCAGGAGCGGGCGGTGGACCACGCGGGTGGCAGCCACGGCGTGCCCGGAATCTACTTCAAGTACGACGTCGCGGGCCTGAAGGTGTCCGTCACCGAGCAACACAAGTCCTACTGGCAGTTCCTCGTGCGTCTGTCCGGCATCATCGGGGGCGTGTTCGCAACCTCAGGTGAGGCTTGGGGGAGAGTCAGTGTGTCTCGGATTAAGGGGAGGGTCGGTGAATATCTCAGTTTGGGTGGTCACTAGGTGTCTCAGATGAAGATCAGTAGGTGTCTCAGATTGGGGTTAATAGGTACAGTAAAAACCCGCGTATAAGAACATAGATTTTTCCAAGTTAGCCTCAATAGGTTCTTATATAAATGGTGCTTACTGAAAAATTAGGCTCAAAAGGTTCTTAAATAGGTTCTTAATTGTTTCTACTTTTAATATGTATAAGCTTATACTTGATT